AATAATAATAATAATAATAATAATAATAATAATAATAATAATAATAATAATAATAATAATAATAATAGACAGCAGTATAGAAGAGAAAGAACTGGAAAAGATAACAAAATACAAAGACCTACAAATAGAAATAGAACGACTATGGCAAAGGCAAGCAAGGGTAGTATCAATAGTTATAGGGGTAGTGCCAATAGTAATAGGCGCCCTGGGTGCAGTCCCAAAACAACTAGCACCACTTGAACACCATAGGCATTGACAAATTTGTGATCAATTAATTGCAGAAGACAGCTTTACTTGGAACAGCTTTCATCCTGCAGAGATATCTGTAACACCATCAAATATCCAGATTTGCCTAGGCGAGGTCCTTGGTAAGGACTCGATAGGTAGACAAAAATGCCTAACCCAGTCTGAAACAACTGGCTGACTGTGCGGTGAAGAAGAAGAAGAAGAAGAATCGTAATAAGATAATAAGACGATTAGATTGCTTTACCAGCTGTTCCTGACAGGAGCTCCAGTCCTTCCTGGTCTTCTCCAGGCTCCGGTTAGCGGCCGTCAGTTCGGCTCGCAGTCCATCTCTTTCGACCCTCGCCTTCTCCAGGTCGCTCCCCGTCTCTTCCACGCGCTTCTCCAGGGAGCCGAGGCTGGCCCGCATCTGGGAAGTTTGGTTGTACAACTCCACTTTGCATTCCTTCAACTGGTGAGCCGGATCCGAATACAGGTTCGCCAGGTATAAACTCAGGAAAACAACGAATAAGACACAAGGGAGGGCGAAGAGGACCGCGCAGCCAATCCTAAATTTCATGCCTGTGTAACAAGTCGCATCCTTTGGGTCAGCCTGCAGTTTCGCCTTTGGAGACAGGGGCCCGCAGACGTCGGGGATCTGTTTACCCATCCGGGAAAAACCGGCGGAAACCCCCAGCAGAAACGCTTCGCCCGCCCTTCTCTCTCTCTCTCTCTCTCTCTCTCTCTCTTCCTGCACTGGAGCCAGAGGAGACGCACCAAAGCAAAGTCGAGGGAGAAACGAAAGTGAGCGAAAACCACATTCCGTGGCGGGGAAAGCGATTGGATGTCGCGTCAGGGAAAGTGGGGGAAGGGGTGCGTGGGCGAGAGGGCTATTGTTCGTTCCTCTTTGGAGATGGGCCACCTGGTGCTGCTGGTAACAGATAACAGATAATCAGAGTTGGAAAGGACCTTGTAGGTCATCTAATCCACCACCACCCCCCAAGCGGGAAATGGCAGTCCAATCTCTTCTTCTGCTGAGATTTTGGCACCGCGCAATGCCCACATCTCCCAACCTTGTCAGGTGGACTGACATACAGCATAGTCCAAAAAGTTTCGGGGGCACCTCAGAGCTAAATCCGATTTCCAGGGGGCCAACCCAGAGGTATCGAGCAGGCCTATAACTTAGGATGGAGAGAGGGAAGGGCAAGTTGAAGTGGCTTTTTAGCCAGAATGGTCTGGGCCAAACTTCCTCCAAAGGTCTTGAAGCAAATGATTTTCTTAAAAGTCAAAATCACTATCAGAAAGTACCAGGAGACACAGTATTCAAGATACAGTCAGACCAATGTAGACTGGAGAGAAACAATGATTTCTTTTGATCCTGAGCTTCTACAGGTAGTCCCCAACTTACAACATAATTGAACCCAAAATTTCTGTGGCTAGAAGAGACGTTCGTTAACTGAATGTTGCCCCATTTTGCAACCTTTCTTGCCACAGTCGTTAAGTGAATCACTGCAGTTGATAATCAACTAGTAAGAGGGTTGTTGATTAAATATTGGCTTCCCCATTGATTTTACTTGTTAGAAGATAGCAAAAGGAGATCACATGACCTTGGGACACAGCAATGGTCATAAATAAGAACCAGTTGCCAAGCATCTGAATTTTGATCACATGATCATGGAGATGCTGGAAAGATAATAACTCTTGTGGTTCGCCTGCAGCAGGTGCGGACAGCTGAGGTCTCGGAGAGCGAAGACTCAGATGAGGGGCCTGCGTGTGATGAAGGGATGGGGTCAGGACCATCCTGGTCCTCTTGAATCATGATAATGTCCTCTTCAAATTTGCTAAATCTGTTTCTAGCTCTCATTCACTCATTTATACTTGTAAATATGTCAAACAACCTGGAGGAGAGTCCAGTGGTATTTCCTTCTGATTTAAAATGGAGCCATTAACATAAGCTCATGGGGTATAAGAATCCAACCAGCACTATATCCATAATGTAATCCTGGTCGTGGTTTGTTTATATACTTATTTGTTACATTGATCTCCCTTTCCAAAGCAACTCTGGGAGGCTCATAAATATAGAAAAATTAAAATAACAGGACTCAAAAACTGTACACCAAAAGTACAAATAGTATGGCAGTGGAATAACAGAATAATGGGGTCTTGGAGGTCTTCTAGTCTAACCCTCTCCTCAATCAGGAGACCCTATAGCATTTCAGACAAATTCTTAAAAACTTCCAGTGTTGGAGCATTCACAACTTCTGGAGATGCAAGTTGTTCCACTGATTAATTGTTCTAACTGTCAGGAAATTTCTCCTTAGTTCCAAGTTGTTTCTCTCCTTGATTTGTTTCCACCCATTGCTTCTTGTCCTGCCCTCAGGTGCTTTGGAGAATAGCTTGACTCCTTCTTCTTTGTGGTAACCCCCAAGATACTGAAACATTGCTATTATGTCACCCCTAGTCCTTCTTTTCAACAAACTAAACATACCCAGTTGTAGCAACCGTTCTTTATATGTTTTAGCCTTCAGTCCTCTAATTATTTTTGTTGCTCTTCTCTGCGCTCTTTCTAGAGTCTCAACATCTTTTTTATATCGTGGTGTCCAAAACTGGATGCAATATTTCAAGTGTGGCCTTACCAAGGCATTATAAAGTGGTTTTGATTCTAGCCTTTTGGTGATACACCCTAGGACTGTTGGCTTTTCTATCACTCCACCAGCCATTCCCAACATGGAGCGCTTCCATAGGGTCTCCAAGCCAACTGTCAGAGCCAAAAGAGAGAGGCCAAAGCTCGTGGGAGATTTTGTAATCTCAGAAAGATCAGATCCTTTACCTGGCCTCTGGGCCCAATAGAATAGACCTTTCTAAAATGGTGGAAAGGTTTAAGACTTTTATTTGCAAATAAAAAATTGCCCAGAGTAGATTCCACCTCTTTTGGAACGAACCACATTTATACAATTTTGAACGTGTACATTTCACTATAAACCATTCATGAAAAAAATGATGTCATGCATGCATTCTCAGTAGCCATAGTAACATAGTTCAGCTAAAGGTTAGGAGGTATACTAAATCTTTTACGTTATCAATAACGAACATTCCTTGGCATCTCAGTACCAGGGTGTTACCTATCATCTTAACAAGCAAGTCTGAGCCTATTGCTGAGGCTGATGAAGGATGCCAGACATGAGGTGCAGGTTTCAATTTCCTCTTAATTGGAGTGCTCCAAGGAAAAGGAGCACCGGCTAAAATGCCAACGACCAAGAACAAATGATTAAGAAAGCTTTATACATTTTCACTAAACAGAAGGCGGGACAAGGCGGGATAATAAGAAATATCATCTAATAAACAATTTAGTAATGATCTAACAATTTGTTCTATTGGTCTCTTGCCATCCCTATTCCTAAGCCTTGGCTTATGAATGCTCCAGGCCATCTAATACACATGGTTTGCTCCAGGCCATCTCTAATCCTAACTTTTAACTGAACTATGCAGGGTGTCTTAACTCTTTTGTTACTGTTATCAGTCCTTTAGCCCCCTAGAGTTGCTACAAGTGCTACATGTGCATAATTCTCTGTGAATAAGCATTCTTTGTTTTTGCCACACAGATTCCACAATTAGAAGCTTCCCGGTCTCTTTTCAAGTATATGCCACAAATTTGCTCTGTTTTAGTAGCCAGCCCATCAGGTGGTCTAATTTCCCTCTCTTGCTATTGCATCTGCCTAATAGGTTAATCAGCAGTTAAGGCAGAGGTGATATTCAGCCAGTTCTGACAGGTTCTGGAGAACCAGTAGCAGAAATTTTGAATAAATTATCAAATAGTCATTTATTAATTCATAAAAATATGAATTAAAATGGGCCATCTCATCAACTTGATAAAATACAGAAGTCCAACACCAGCACTTAAAGAATCATTTTACCAAAAAAGGAGAACGTAGCTTGAGCCTACATCTTGGAAATCCACTTACGTTTGGCGTGAATTGTTTTTCTTTTCTGACTACCTCTGGTCTTTTTTATTTACGTTTAAAAAAAATTAATAGTGAACTATAACAAGCAATAGTAACAAAATGAATCACTCAAATTTTAAAAATTAAAGTTTTAATTCAGTTTAAAATAAACTAAACCTAAGAGAAGGAAGGAAGGAAGGAAAAAAAGGAAAATTTATATGTTAATATAAAATTAATTCCATGGAATTCTATGGATTCATAGGGCCGAAAGGGAGAGGGCTTCTAGTGCAACCCCCCCCCCCCCCCCGCTCAATGCAGGACACTTTTGCCATCCCAGTCAAATTTTGGCCAGTCTTTTTTTTAAAAAAAAAACCCTGCAGTAATAGGGGTCTAGGACAACTCACTGTGGCCAACTCGACACAGCCAACTTGCTGCAGCCAACTCACCACAGGACAATTCGCCACAGCCAATTTGCTGCAGGACAACTTGCCACGGAGCAAAAGTTACACTAATATTGAAGAAATTGTTGAATAGAATCATTAAAGAAAAAGTGCCAAAAGATGGACAAAATGAAATGACAAAGGTTAAAAATAATTTTTAAAATTGTTGAACTGTCCCACAGCGAGTTGGCAGCGGTGATTTGGCCACAGCAAGTTGGCTGTGGCAATTTGTTCCATTCAACAGTGATAGAGCAACCACAACCCCAGGAGGCAAGCTATTCCGTTGAATTTCTTCTTACTAGTTAGATATGATGAAATATTGAATGAAAAGAGTGAACTTAAATCTATGCAAAAATTAGAGGAACAAGGTATAAAGTTGAATTGGTTTTCATATGCGCAAATACATTCAAGGTATGACAAAGATTCTAAAACAGAAGGTTTGTATGATAAACTGAGTGACTTAGATAAGATTTTGACAGGTACTGATGAAAAGGTGATTAAAAAATTGTATGGATATTTATTAGAAATTAAACTAGAAGAAGAGCAAGTTAAAGAAACTATGATTGTTTGGGGGAAGAATTTTGGATATGGGATTGATCTAGAGAAATGGCAAAAATTGTGGTCTCAAAATTATAAAATGACAATGTCAATAGCATATAGAGAAAATTTGTAATAAGATGTTTTACAGGTGGGATTTTCTCCCGACAAGAATAGCAGGAATGCTCAAGAACAAATCTGAAAAATGTTGGAAATGTCATCAGATACCTGGCTCATATTACCATATGTGGTGGACTTGTGCGGATGCTAAAAAATATTGGACTAAAATCCACACGTGGTTGGTAAAAATGACAAAAAAACCATATAGACTTGAAACCAGAGATATTTTTATTGGGAATTTTACCTGAAATATATAGTAAAGAATTGAAATACCTGATTGTAAATGTATTAACAGCAGCTAGGATTGTATTTGCCAAAAACTGGAAAAATGAGAAAATACCATTACAGGAGGAAATAATTAAGAAAATATTGGAATGTGCTGAAATGAGTAGATTGACATTTGAAATCAGAGAACAAGATGATGAACGATTTTATAAAATTTGGGATCTATTCTATCAATGGTTAGACAATAAAGCATGGTAATGAAATATGTAGATTCTTAGAAAATAATAAATATATAAAGATGTATTCTTTTCTTATTATATCTACAAAATGATTATAGGATAGATTTGAGATGATAATATGAACTGTCATAAAACAAATTAAGTAAAATATGGATTATTTTGTAAAACATGAATGAATAAAAGTATAGACAAATGATTGATTAACAATGATATTAATGTATTTAATATTTGATTGAAAATATGAAAATATATACAATGTAATTGTAATTGAAGACTACGAAATAGAAGCACAAAACAATTTGT